TTTATTCCATATTAATTAATTAATTAATTAGGAGAATAAAATTCCTACTAGAATCTTCTCTTGGGATTAGGAGACTTGGGAGTCTTCTAGAAGATGAAGATTAGTAGGAAACATATTTCCTACATTATATTACTAATTGGAGTAAAATTAGGCTTCCTAAATTAGGAATTAATTTTATTCCATGGTTATTAATTTAATTAGGAAATATATTCCTACAAGGATCTTCTCTATTGTTAAGAGACTTAGGAGTCTTCTAGAAGGAGAGGATTAGTAGGAGATTTCCTTCCTACATTAAATTAGTATTGGAGTAGAATTAGGATTCCTAGGCCTAATGGAATAAGCTCATATTTAGCACCTCCTTAAGGTCCCTAATGGAGCCTATAAATACACCATGTCCCAACCTCTCCTACAATGTTGTCTTGGCCGATTTTCTCTTCTACATACACGACAGAATTACATTGTTCGAGAGTTAGGGAGATTCGATTAAACGCTCCACCAAGTTTGATCGAAGTAGGTGTTTAGGTAACCTAATAGAAGGCTTTTTGCTACAATATATTGAGCTTTCTAATATATATATATTTTGGTCATCATCATCATCATCTTATCACCGCCGTTCCCCGCCGTCGACCGCCGTCGAAAATCGCTGCCGCCGCCGGAAGCCAGCCAGGCCCAATCGATCGCTGCCGTGAGCAACTGCCCGCGACCGCGCCCAGGCAGGCCCCGTCCCAGCTCACAGCAGCGACGCCCAGGACAACCGCACGAAGGCCGACGTCCATTCGTGCAACACCACAATCGCTAATCCTCCCCAGCACGCATGCGCATTGCTACCGCTCGTCCGTGTCTGCTTGCTGTAGCCGATCGCATCGTCCCCAGCGTGCCAGTGCAACGCGCACGACTTCCCAGTGCATCGCCAGCACACGTTCGCAACAGGCACGCTGCCAGTGCTCGTCCGCTGCGACCCGCGTACCTGCTAGCGACCCGCGCCAGACGCGCACGACGCCTGCTGTACCTGACGACCGAGACCCGCGCACCGTTCCACCGTGATCCGTTTGACGAGTTGATTAGAATCAACTAAAGGCCAAACCTATCCGCCCATTAGGTTGTGGTGTTCAGACGAACTTCATCAACGGTACTCTACATCGTCTCAGGGTGGGCAAAAAAAATTTTAAAAGCTAAACGTCCATATCCTAACTATAGATTCCGCAGCGTTAGGATTTATTTCGATAAAGATCAATATTGTGCATGTTGTTTGACGTTCCTAACAGAACCCAACAATTGGGACCTCATGCAGTTGTCGGCTGGCAGCGGGACAAGAACAGCGAGCAGGTGGGCAGCTTGCGATCGTTGTTGGGCGTCACGGACGAATCCTGGCGGGGCGCGACTGCGAGCGGAGGCTTGCGGATGTGCTCGGCTGGGCTCGGGCGGTGACCGGCGGCGATGCAATTTTCTGGCGAATCCTCACGGCTGCGGACGACGGCGATTATGTGATGATGATGACCGGAAATGTATGTATATTAGAGGCTCAATATATTGTACCAAAAAGCCTTCTAATGGATTACCTAAACACCTACTTCGATTAAACTTGGTGGAGTGTTTAACCGAATCTCCCTAACTCTCGAAAAAAGCTATTTCTCGTGTGTATGTAAGGGAGAAGATCGGCCAGCATCAACTATGTAGGAGAGATTGGGACATGGTGTATTTATAGGCTCCATTAGGGACCTTAAGGAGGTGCTAAATATGGCTTATCCCATTTAGGCCTAGGAATCCTAATTCTACTCCAATACTAATTTAATGTAGGAAGGAGATCTCCTACTAATCTCCATCTTCTAGAAGACTCCTAAGTCTCCTAACACTAGTAGAGATCCTAGTAGGAATATCTTTCCTAATTAAATTAATAATCATGGAATAAAATTAATTCCTAATTTAGGAAGCCTAATCTACTCCAATTAATTATTTAATGTAGGAAATATATTTCCTACTAATCTCCATCTTCTAGAAGACTCCTTAGTCTCCTAATCCTAAGAGAAGATTCTAGTAGGAATTTTAT